GCCCAAGTCGAAGAGCTTTGAGCACGCTGCAGAGTGCCTCTGAAGTTATCTGACTTGCGGCTGCTGATTGATAGACTGATCACCTATCGATCTTTCTTCCCGTCGCCGAGCGCAACCCCAGACGTACCCCTTTCCCCGCCGGCTTCGAATTGTGGACGGATTAACTGGCTTGGGCCCCGCCAGCTGGAACAACTCGTGTGGTTGTTCCGACAACCGGACCACCTGCGTCGTGATTGCAAGCGGCGTGAGTAAAGTTGCAACCAATAAGTTGTGTCTGCCTCTCCATTCACCAGCCCGCCCTGACGTACGAGCGTAACTCGAGTCAGCCCTGGCCGTCCGAGACACCACTGTCCTTCACTATCTATCTTGCTGCCTTGCCTAATCCCGCTCATCCTCTCCAGCAACAGAGAGGATCCAGTGTGCAGTGGGAGCGGGGCAGTTCCATTACCTCAAGCATTCTGTGTCTGGCAGCCCATGATGGCTTGTGGAGATCCACAGGCTGTGAACATGCTTCCCTTGTGGAGAGGAAGCACAGTCACCGGGCAGGGGGAGCCTTTGCAGTCTGAGACCAAACTAGTTCTGGTGTTGCTCCATGGCTGGAGTGGAAAAGCTGGTCACCTAGTCTTTGTGCTGGGGATAATTCACTTGGTCACAGATTCTGCCAATTCATTTATTTGGATATTCTGGTTACTGGGAATTCCTCACTGGGACAGCTCAGAGGTCAGGCTAATTTGGTAGGCTGTACCTATAGTAACTTCATAGGCAAGTGTTAACCACTCCTTAATATGGGTGTCTTTTTCATGTGTTCTACTACCACAAACACAGACTTTTCCAGTATCCAGCACATAACTAGGCCCAGTCTGTAGCCCTTGTGGGGTCTCTCAGGGTATATAGTTCTTCCAGGAGCTGGTAGAGCAACAGCTGTTCCATGGCTGTTTCAACAGTCTTGTGTGGATGAGGCATTAGAATAGCTCCAATTCCACATGTTGTTTTTTTGACCTGCCAACTTTTCTTCAAAGGTGACTTACCTACACATGTCCAAGTTGAAAAACCCTTCATATTCCTGTCAGGAGGCATTTGGTTAGGTGAATTCTGACAAATGTGCGCACATCCTTTCCAGCTGTGTAGCTACCTGTGATTTTTTTAAAGCTGCTTCACTCTGGCTAGGAAGCTTTTTCCTGATTTTAGACAGGAAACAGCCAACCTGTGGCCTTGTAATGGATGCCTGGTGTCTTTGCCCAGTCAGAATTATTCCATTCTGCTTGTGACCTCTCTTCTACTATCTGTGAGATGGTCAGGATACTGAGTGAAATGGATGGCTTCTTTGCATCTCCTGTCATCCCATGCAATGCAACTGGGTCAGTATTAAACCTGCTTTCTTTCCTTCCAGTGATGCCTTTGACTTCAAGCATGGAGTGTGCTTAATGAGAACGAAGGAAGGGCTTAATATTTCCAGACTGATGCAGGCTCACAGGAAGTGTCTATTGCAGCTACACCTGCAGGTTTAGTGTCTATTGCAGCTACACCTGAAGCAGGAATTACACAAAAGTCTCCCAGGGGGATATGTTTAGATGCTTAGTCTTGAGGCCAGTCAGTTTGGGATGTGCACGCTAGCCCTTTAGTTGGACGGATGATTCAGTAAGTCAAACTGAATCAGCTTTGCAGATGAAGAGCATGGTTTCTATTGCTGTTCCTGACTTCCATGCAGACCTTTGACCGGCAATGGCCAGATTCCTTCTGCCTCCTGAAATTTCTTTCAGCACTTTGACTGAGCATGTGACTTCTCACCTCCTGCTCTTCATTAACTGTTACATGGCATTAACCTTCACAGCTAAGTGGTTCAAATCAGCCTGCCTGCATGGGTTTTCTTTTAAGCTAGGATGTCAAATATATGGCTTGTAGGCTGGAGCTGGGCCCCAGAACCCCACCATCGAACACCCAGTGCCGCCCCTGGGACTGGAGTTGACTCCCACATGGCATGTGGTTCACGCCAGACTGGCTCCCTGCACAGGGCCTGGGACACATGCCATGTACCATGGCTGCTCTGGCAGGCCTGGGGCCCATGAAGCATGCAGCACACCCCCCAGCTGGTCCGGGACATACACCACATGTGGTGCTCCTGGGCTTGTTTCGGATATGTGCCTGCTCCAGCCAGTCTGGGACGTGCTGTATACAGTGTCTCCCCAAGGCTCTCTGGGGTGGGTACCCCAAGCAACATGAGTGTCAGGCAGGCTGAAGCAGGTTCTGTATGCTGCACATATCCTGGACTGGCCTTGCACCTGCACTATGTGTGGTGCAGTTGCGGACTGGCTGGAGTAGGGACTGTGTGCGCTGAATTTGGCATGTGGGTAGGAGGGGGCCTGATCTGGCCTGTGGGGCCAGACTCACACCACTTATCTGGCTTGTGGGGCAAGGTGAGTTTGACACTCCTGTTTTAATCTATCACCACTGTGACAACTGAAAATTATGTCTGTGTGATAAAGGTGCTTGCTGAAGGCTCTATGAAGATTAGACCAAGTGTTTTTTTGTCATTTGTTCAGATATTAAGCTATATGTTGTTGCTAAGAGCCTAATTAAAGTCTAAGATGTAGTGAGGCCTTGTATGTAGTATAAAGTCTAGTAAATTTAGCAAAGCCTTATAGAAGTGATGGTAGGCCCTGTGGCATAGTTAAAATTAACCTTATCAGAAGAATGCAAGACTTGTATTGCTATTGGTCAGTCTAAGGACAGTTGAAGTAAAAAGAATCTGAATGGCTGTAAGTTATCAGCATAGCTCAGAAGTTATAAATTGGCTAGCACATAATCATTTAGAAGGAAGATACAGCTCTGTGACAGGAACTACAAATTAGCTGTTGACCTGGATTCAGTGGGCCCGTGGATCTCGAGGAGTCCAAGGGCTGAATGCCAGGGTTCTTCCCAGTACCTCTCAGACAGCGCTGATCGGGGACGCCTGACTTTGCTGAGCTTTGTAGAAAGAGAACTTGTCGTACATCAGGCGTCAGAGGGGACTGCCGATAAGTTGCTGATGCAAATTATTATCGTCTGTCATTATCAGTCTTAGTATACTACGTGTAGTTGTGTTTTTATTAAGTCAATAAACCTTTCTTACCTTTCTACCCCTGACCATACTCTCAATCCTGAACCCTCTGCAGGGAGCTGGGACACACCACATCCCCAACCAACAGTGAAAGGAAACAGACTGAGAAATTATTGTCATTCATTATGCAACTGATTCCTGAGGTGAAATGCAGCCTTACGCAGGGGGCTAGCACAGCACCAACTAAGAGTCACTCAAATGGTGCATGGGCAGTTCTGCACAGGGGCAAATTTCACCTGTAGTGAACAGCAGACCTACTTCATGTATGCACTTGAAATAATAGGGCTAAAATTATAAACACCCTGTATCTGGGTCCATTAAGGCAGTTTTCCTTAAGTGTTCCCAGGGATAACTGTTCTTCTTGTGTGGTTTAGTACCCGCTGAGGTGTTGGAGCTTAAAGCCCACTTCATGGAAATGGGAGGTTCCTCCCTAGCTTGCTCCTATGGCCATATGGCTGAGGGCGGGCGAAACTTGGGGGCATCTGAGCCCCAAGCCACCAGGCTTGGGACTGCATGTAGGATGTCTGCCAAAAGACTTTGGAAGTATCTGAAGCCTCTGGTAGGGATGCAGGATGTTTGCTGGTTTTAGGGCCACTTATGGTTCTGGATTGATTTAAGGATATGGACTTGATTTGACTGATTTGGCTTGGAACATGAAAAATTTCTTTAAAAAAAACAAAACAACTTGAAATAACAGAGATCCTTCTGCCTTTACAGAAGTGCATGTACCCATACACACACTATATGTGTATATGTGTATGTGTGTGTTTGTATAAATCTTCAAAGTGCACATGTGCTCCTGGTGCCAGCCAAAGCAGGCTTTATCTGTCCATCTGTCTGTGTATGGAAGCTAGCTTCTGTCTTCTGGAATTCACCACTGGGTAAAGGGTTGATACAAAATCCAGGGATCAAAGCAAGACTTTAGTGGTGCCTATTCCTTGTGCTTGCTGTCTGCAAAGGGCTGAATTTCCCTCAAGATCAGCTTGCAGATGAATTGAATGTTGCTTCTTGAGCTGTGAATATTTAAACTAAAGCTATGTGTTTCTGTTTAGTGTTGGTTAGAAAGCTAAAATTAAAATAAGTTTTAATTAATATTAGTTGAATGTCCTTAGGATTGAGCCATAATAATTTTCTAAATGAAGAGAAATGTCCACTGTGGTGTCTTTCATGAATATCTGATCCCCATTGACTTTATTCTCTTTGTTTCCTCTTTCATAGTTAACCCAGCATTTGATCCAAGAGAAGACCCCAAAGAGAATGGAACGAATGGCACAGCACCCACTGTAATGGGCACATGTCAGTGCTAATGAGGTTCATCTTTGTGATAGGAAAGGCTCATGCTACAGTGTGCAGTGAAAATTAATGATGATCTGACACACAGGGGGTCAACTAGTTGAATGGTCCTGGTTGCTAGTTACACATGGCCCTGGCTGCAAAATCCTGATCAGCACTTTCCTTAAGTGTGGAGTTCCCAGGTCTGGGAGCTGGGTTTGTCCTATTGTAGGTAAAGGTGCCAGCCAAACAGTAAGGTCAAGATCTGTTTTTTCTCCAAGGTTTGGGGACATTCAGATCAAGGCTTTTGGCTCAGCCATAGAGTTTGGCTGCTTTTAAGACAGACACTAGATTAACATTTAACATTTGCCAGACATGGCTCAGTTGTGATTTCAGTGTAGGCAGTGGGAATGTTTAAAGCTCTACATGAAAATGCCTGAAGAGCACTGAAAGGCTTTAGTGGTGCCTTTTTTGGTTCATATTCCAGGATATTTTCATGGTTTGGGTTCTTATTGACTTTCTAGTGGATCCAGAAGCCTTTGTAGCAGAAGAGCAAGCAAGCACCATCTTCCAAACTGAACAGGGCAAAAAGACCATTGACATCTACTGGCTCTTTGATGATGGAGGTAACTGTTGACTTTTAATTAATACACACCCAGAATGTACATACATTTGAAAGGGTTTCTCTTACCACTCTTTTCTCCCCTCCATTCAGTTCATGCATGTGACTGATTTTTTGAAGGCTCGGTCCCCTCACTGGTCTCAAGCCACAGTAGGACGATAGTCTCTTCTGCTCTGATAACTCCCTATGCATCCATTCCTCACCAGGATATTTGGGTCAAGGTCTACTCACTATTGTTCCTGCCCATTCATTTCTAACTTATTGCAGGGTGGAAGTCCTCAGCACTGCCCATGCAGTCATTGTCAGCCACTGCTTCTGGACTGCTGTTAAGTTCCATCAGATCCTTGGCCAATGTGACCTTGGCTAGGATATTCAAAGGAACCTCAGGGAGTTGGAGATACAGCTCTCATTGAGAATCAGCAGGATTTGGACACCTAATTCTCTTAGACATCTTTGAAAAACTTTCTTAGCAAAATCTTCCCTTTCCATGATAACAGGGCAGTAGTCTTTCCATGTAATGTTTTTCATATTATTCACAGTCATTTGAACCTCTTTTAGGTTGCCTTTCTAGTGCTAGTCTTCATGGTTTTCATTCACCCGACATGGTGTGACTGATTTTGTAGCAAGTGATGCTGAGGAATAATACTATTTGGAAATGCATTCATTTGTAACTGATGATTTTAGACATGCAGCTTCTTAGTCTTCAGGCACAAATGGAGTCTTCATTACTGAGGAACGTTGTTCATTGATGCCCATCATGTTATGTCTCTATGGCAAGTTAATTATAGGCTGTTGCAACATAATGAAGTGTTGTTGATACCAGAGAAAAAGCTTACTTTGTGTAAAGGTTGAATCTGATGCATTTTTCAGAGCTCTAGGTCTCTGAAGTTCCAGGGGTAAGAGTATGTTTTGCAAAATAAACACAAGTAAATGGTAGTTCAGTTAGTTGGTGCTCAGTTCCCCAAAACACCTGAGACCTAGAAGGCTTCCATTCTCCTTGCTCATATTAGTAACTGTGCTACTGAAAACAGATTTGCTGCTAACTGTTCCAGCTCATCTCTGAACCAGATCTTGTTCCCTTCAAACTGAAGCTTTCCTAAGTGGAGACAATGACATCCCTCTCACTGAAATGATTGTAGCCCAATAGAAAGTTGCTAAATGTAGCAGCAAACTGATTCAATGATTATGTTCTTATCCCTGCTGAGATTGAGAAACCTTCTCTGCATGGATTAGAGGCATGCCACAGAGGCATTGGATAGTTTGGGGTCTTTATTTTAACCTTCTGGATTGCTTAACCGAGTTTGATTCATGCAGTAATAACGAAGCTGGTCTTGGTCTAATTCTTCCTGGATGGGTGTCCTTCATCAAACTTCTCTGGTACTAATTGGCACTTTTACCAGCAGTCTGAACAGACACACAAAAGAATTGGCTGGACATGAAGACCAAGCTCTCCTTTGACCCCTTCAGCTCCAATTAGAATCACAGAATCATAGAAAAGCAGGTCTGGAAGGGACCTCAGGCGGCCATCTGGTCCAGCCCCCTGCTCAAGGCAGGATCTTCCTTGTCTAAATAATCTTAGACAAGTGTTTGTCTACCTTGTACCCTACCCTGTGCCCATTTTGTGGAAGACCAAAGCCCCCCGCCCCATCACTGAACTAGCCTTCTAGCAGTAAGGAACATTATTCTAATAGACCCATAGTAGGAATCTTCTGAGGAAAAAGACATTTCTGAGTAGAACACTTTCCTGTAAAGTGTTTATTTACACATGTCCCTTGTTGCCATAGTGTCTGACTGCCTTGAAATGTGCCTCTGAATTAGGTCAGAGCTATTACCCCCATTTTATAGAAAGTGAGCCAAGGCATAGCGAACTCAAGTGTCTTGCCCAAGTTCATAGCCAGGAATTGAATCCAGGATTTCAGAGTCCTAGAGTAGTATCTTAAATGCTAAATGATCTTTTCTCTCATTTTCCTGGTCTGTTTATAGAGTCTCCTTCAGGACAAATTAGGGCTGAAGCAGGATCCAAAGGGATACTCCATAAAAGGGAGAGAGAAATTCTTTTAAGAAAGGGGACCTGCTTTGCCTTCATTTCTGGGAATAACTGAAACAAGAAGATTAGACAGAATGACATGCTGGGGACTTTCAGAGCTAGAATGGAGAATACACTAGAAAATGTACCATGAGGAGCAACCTCTCATTGACAAGACAAGGGGCTGGTGAGCACTGAGGGTCATCTCCATCTCTGGGATTTAGAATACTAAATACATGCTTAGTCTCCAGACATAAGTGACAATCCCTGTGCTCTCCCCTGCGGCAGGTCTGACGCTCCTGCTTCTGTATCTTCTCAGTCACAAGAAGCGGTGGGGCAAGTGCAAAATCCGGGTGTTTGTTGGAGGGCATATCAACAGGATGGATGAAGAGAGGAAGGCATAAGTATTATAATGAGCAGTCATCAAACCTGTTCGTGCAGTCATCAAACCACTTCTGTTATGATTTTTCCAATCACAAATGGCCTGATCCATAGCCTGATAATATCAGCAAGAGTCTTCCTGTCAATTTCAGTGGATTTTGGATCCACACTTTGTATTCAGCCTAAACAGCTGTCATTTTAGATAATGGGACATAACAAATGAAAAAACAAAAGGCAAGTCTCCAGGAAGAGCTCAATCTACACATCTCTTCCATACCATGCTGCAGTAACCGAGCCCTGCAAAATGGCAAGCACTTTTGCAGACTCCAGACATGTCCAGGCAGGGCCTATAGAAAACAAAACCTGCTCTCTTTCCCATGGGTTGGGCTATTTTACAAATTTAATTTAGTCTTTGGAGAGTTAAAACACGAATATTTCTGTTGACCAAATGCTCTTGTCCTCAATTTAAGCAATTCAGAAGATTTTATTTTTCTTTAATCCTTTTTTACAATGATATTTTTGGCACGTAATATAGCATAGATCATCAGCTGGTGCAAAGCAGCAGAATTCTATTCTGGCCAATGTAGCTATGCTCAGGATGTGACTCCATGTGTATGTTTATTTTTTTCATTGTTCTTGAGTGGAGCTGAGAATAAAAAATGCAAATGTTTTACACAATGCTAAAAACACAGAAATTAAATTTCTAATAAGAGGCCTGACTTTGGTGAATCACAAGATTATGGAAAGTGAATATAGGGCTAGCAGCAGTAATTGGAGAAGTAGCTGGATGTTACTGTGCAGTCACTGCTCTAGAGGAAAAGTGATAATTTAGTAACCTCACTAAATAATCAATGGGTCAGAATAAGAAAAGTGGGACATTCCCCTCGTTAGTGCTGTGTTCTGATGTAGGGGTTTAGGTTGTAGCCATGTCGGTCTAAGGACATAGGCAGACAAGGTTCCTTGGGTGAATTTGATATCTTTTATTAGACCAACCCAAATAGTTGGAGAATAGTTATTAAGCAAGCTTTCGGGTTCAAAAACCCTTTGTCAGGCTCAGGAAGCTGCAGCAGTTGGTGTGCGCTCTTCCTGGATGGAACGAAAAGTAAACAAGCCAGGGGCTGGGCTGGGCTGGGCTGGGCTGGGCTGGGGAGGGGAGTCAGTTGCCGGGCAGATTATAATGTATCAAAAATCCAATGTCTATGTTTAGTCCATGATCTCTAGTATCCAGCAGGTTGATGAAATGGAGCTCATAGGCTCGTCTCGTTTCTTGTCATGGCACAACTCGCATACCACTGGTTATGACCTATCACCCATCCCTTGAACCTGTACGGAAAATCTGCAAAAAATTGCAACCCATACTAGAAAGAGACCCTATTCTTAAAAAGATCTTCCCAGAACCACCCATCCTAGCCTTCAAACAAGCACCGAACCTCGCCAACCTCATCACCAGAAGCAAACTTCCTCAAGCCAGAACACACCAAAAGGAATACCTCATCCAATGCACTAAATGCCCTGATGGAAGATACGTAGGAGAGACCAAACAACAACTGTACACCAGAATGAATGCACACCGGAAATCCATCAAAGACAGAAACACCCAATTGCCGGTGGGGGCACGTTTCTCACAGGAGGGCCACTCTCTCTCCAATCTCTCAGTCCTGATCCTCAAGGGAAATTTACACAACACATCCCAGAGACGAGCGAGCCTATGAGCTCCATTTCATCAACCTGCTGGATACTAGAGATCATGGACTAAACATAGACATTGGATTTTTGATACATTATAATCTGCCTGGCAACTGACTCCCCAGCCCAGCCCAGCCCCTGGCTTCTTTACTTTTCATTCCATCCAGGAAGAGCACACACTGACTGCTGCAGCTTCCTGAGCCTGACAAAGGGTTTTTGAACCCGAAAGCTTGCTTAATAACTATTCTCCAACTATTTGGGTTGGTCTAATAAAAGATATCAAATTCACCCAAGGAACCTTGTGTTCTGATGTATTGTGTTGACCATGACCCTAATAACACTACCTAGAAAAGTCTCTTGACTGAACTTCAATAGACCACTGAACAGAAAAGAGTAGTAGATGCTAGGCCCAGTGTTTACAGGCTGGGTCTGTAAGATGTTGAAAGCTATTTGTGATAGTAATGCCAAGCTCTTATGCAGCCCTTCTTATCAGAAGATCTCTAAGGGCTTTACAGAGGGGACCAGTATCATTATCTTTAGCTTTCAGATGTGGAAAGGAGGCACTGAGAAGTGAAATAATTTGTCCAAGATCACCAGTGGACCAGCAGTGGCAGAAGTGGGAGTAGATCTCAGATTCCCTGAGTCCCTGCTGAGGCCTCACTACACCCCTTGACTCTTAGTAGATTTTTGGATGACTGAGAAAGTTTCAGAAGCTGTCAGTAAATAAGGAGGAAGAATAAGAAGACCACATTAAAATTAAGGTCTCTTTTTTTTGCCTTCCAGAATCATCTTTCTGTTGACCAAATTCCGACTTGGGTTCCATGAGATGCACATCCTGCCAGACATCAATCAGAAGCCACACCCTGAAGAGTATGTCATTGCCCTTCCATGTTCTATTTCACCGTCGAGGTGTGACAGGGGTGTGTGCATTTGTGGCATCACTGTGTGTGTTGAACCAAAAGCAAGCTCCAGTCCCATGATGCCATTTACCTCTTTGCAGCATCCGGAGATTTGAGGAGCTGATCGCCCCTTTCAGGCTCAATGATGGTTTTAAAGATGAGGTGGCAGTGAATGACATGAGGCAGGACTGCCCTTGGAAGATTTCTGACGAGGAGGTTAATAAGAACAGAGTGAAAGTAGGAACATTCCAGCCACTGCTCCTACTGCAACTGCTTTCCCCAGCCTGGGGCACTGAAATGCTTGGGAATCCTTGTACAGAAAACTCTCAACCTCCTGCATGATTTCTATCTCCTAGGGAGGCTATGAGGAAGGCCAAGGGGAAATGGGTGTGATATCACCATAGGCATCAGTCAGCAGTGATGAGCTCTTATTTTCAGGGACTGCAATCAGACCAGAATCAACAGAGCTGCCAAGCCCCTCTCATGTTCATCAATCCTGTAGGGGAGAGCCACACCCTGACTCAGGGAATTTTCCCATAGCATCTTCACCATTTCCCTCTGTGACGCTTGCACCCTGCTTGTGCTATAGAAGCTGCACCTTCACACTGTTTATGGGGAACAGACTTGTAATCAATCAATGTGAGCCCTTAATTGAGTCCCACTGGAGGACTGTGCAGTGAGAAGGACCATGGTAACATGGTGTAAGCAGGAAAATCTCCTTGCTTTCAGGAAATCTGTGCAGTTCTGGTCCTGCTAGATGCTTAACAGTGCCTGTAAGTCACTGAACATGCTCCTTTCCTACAGAAAGGACAAGAAGTCAATAGGTTTCATCATCTCAAGGAGCGGACCCTGTCAGGATTGACCGGGCAGTCACTTAGTGAGTTACCGGAAGCAGGCTGGGGTCACACTAGGTATCTCTTGTAGTCCAAGTCATCTGGCCAAGGGCTGAGGTGGTACCATATTCAGGGCAGGTGGTAGATCGGAGCTGGGGGGGTCCAAACAAGGCAGGGGCAGGGACTTTGGCAAGGCTGGAATCAGGCAGAATGAAAAAGGAACAAGGCAGCAGTGAGGCAAGAGTCAGGCAGGAGCAAGTCAGAGGTCCAGGAAGCACACACGAGTGATATTTCTGGGACAAGTCCCACAGGAAATAGGAGGTGTTTTATAGCCCCTCAGTCAGGGACTTGCAGTTCCTATAGTTTCCCCCTGGTTGCCTTGTTCCTCACCAGTGTCCTCATGGGAGGGACCAGGCTGGGCTGGGGCTAGTGTCTGACCTGCTGCCTGGTGGTGCTGAGGACTTAGCCTCTGCCTGCTGGCTCAGATTCTCTAGGTTCAAATCCTTGTGGTCCTAATGGGCCCTGTGTGACCTGGGGGCCACCAGGGCTCATGCCTGGATGCACTGATGTCCACAGAAGTGCTGCCATTCTTCAACACAGACTTTTACAAACAGTATTGCTATGAATAGCAGAATAGGCTACAAATATGTTTCAGTCTGCTGATTCAATAGGTGAAACGGTAAGGTAAGGACTGAAGGGGAATGAAAGAACTGTCAACAGGGATAAAAGAAGGTGGTATGTTCAGCTGGAGAAAGACATTTAGAAGAAGAGGTGGGCTGATGTGAGGCAGCATCAGTACTGGCAGGTACTTTGGCATCTCTACCAACAAGCATAACCAAGATAAGATTGCTGCTCACCTGTAGCTGAATAACTGTAGGACAGTTCTAAATTTCAAAGATCTTCCCATCTTTTGGCAAACTGCTACAGATCTGCTATGTATCCCAGGGGCCTGATTCCAAACCCACAGAAATCAACAGAATGGCTCCCACTGATTTCTCAGGGTGTTGCATTGGATCTGCATGGGAGGAAAGTGCATGTACAGTCCAGGTGAACCTGGCTGGAGTAATTTTGTGCTGTTGTAAATTCTTCCTCTTTGCTCCTTAGTCTCTTTGCCAAGTGAGACTCAATGAGATCTTGCTGGATTAGTCCCAGGATGCAGCTCTCATAGCCATGTAAGTAACAGTAGTCCCAAAAATTGAGCAGCAAGATTCCCTGGAGCCATATTGAATCTGACTTGAATATGATCCTCTGAAGAAAATCGGTTTTTATATAGTTTCTTTCTCTTCTGAGATATTTTCCAAAGGAAATAGTCCCTTTAGTGTTTTCCCTTCCACATAGTGTCTACTACCTGGACACTAATTTGTCTTCTATAAAAGGTGCCCCCTTTCCCTGCAGTCTCCCCAGAGGATCCTTTACAAAAATACCACGGTATTCTAGAATGATATAATGATGCTGGTATAAGATATAGGTCACAGGACCATTGATGTAGCATATTGCCATAAACTTTAGATATTTTTGTACATTAAAAGATAAAAACAGTAGTCTGGAGCCAAGCCTAATTGTGCAAACTGGCTTATCTAACAGGTTATCAAATAGCTTATCTAGCAGTATAATTGGCAAGTAGAGGGCCAGATATTCTGTTGTTCCCAGAGGGGAGGAGAGACCATCAAGACCAGCTCCTTGGTTATTAGGCTGGCTCCACATGACCACAGTTCTAGCAGAATTTTAGAGTAGCCTTGAGGCTGCTCTGAACTATCCCAGTTTGTAATGGTTAATAAGGAGCCAGCTTCCAGTTGGGAATAGGTGACATGTACATTCAAGATTGCATCAACATATACCAACTGTGTACAATGTAGCACCATACACAGGGTCCTACTTTCTCTTCAGTATCTACAGTCATGCAGATAACTATGATTTTTAACATGCACATCAGTTGCATAACTCCTGCCAGGGTGGTGTGAGGGGACTGTGTAGGAGCAAACTATTCCAGGCTTTGCCAGAGGATTGCCACATGCTAAAAGAACTCCCAGATGGGGAAGGGTGCCCACTCTGGTTCTTGTTTCACCTCTGAAGTGATGCAAAAGGGCTGGGAGTTGGCCCATAACGAGAATCTGGCCCATAATGTCTGCCATGTGCAGCGTTGGAAGATGCATTTCCAGGGCCATCAAGAAACAAGCAGGCACCTGCATCAGTGGTCGCTCAGGCAGTCTTTCACTGAAACCACTTCTCCAGTACTCCAGGCATCAGTAGTCCTGAGTCTGACCCAGGATGCTCAGAGCTGCTGGTATCCAAGCAGTGAGCAGACTCTCCTGCCTTCAGGAAACTTCCTTTTGATTTTTGGTGCACTGATTTTTAGAGCTCTCATCTGACAGCATGAAACCCTCCCCACAGCTTATATTTTTGTGCCACCTCGCAGCCACATGTGGAACCACAGATTCATTTTAAGCTTGCCACTCAGTGTCCATTACAAGCTCCTATTTTCAGGTGTGTGTATAAAGGTCAAGTGCAGCCACTCTTCCCTGCAGAGTGGCTAAGGACTGCCCATTATCTTATCCATTGATGCTGCAGAACAACAGGCAACATGTTCCCCACTTCCAGAGATGTGTCCCTGGCAATCTCTGGGGTTCCCAATCAGCTGACTGGTGGCCCCAGCCCTGGGACCACACCAAAGTGTCCTAGCTTTCCCCACTTCCAGAGATGCTCCCCTGGCAATCTCTGGGGTGAGTCTCCGGAAGAGGGGAACCCCGACTCTTTTTCCAGAGACAACCCCCAGAGATTGCTGGGGGTGCATCTTTGGAAGTGAGGAAAGCTGGGCCTGATTCTGCATAGGAATTCATGCGGTGCACATGACCAAGCCCCTCAAGCCCTAGAAGCCCCTGTCCAGGGTAGCAGGAGAATGTGGGCAGGTCCAAGTTGCCTGTGCTCTCCTGCTACAAAGCAAATGGCAGTCTGCTGCAATAAAGTAGCACAGTATATTATTACTTACTGGTAACAACCTGGATTAGCAGCTGTCTGATGTAAATATAGAGGGAGACCAAATAAAAACCAGGGGACAAAAAAAGCAGGGATTGGGAAAAGGGAGCTGCACTGGAGAGGTGCTTTGAGAGAGAGAGAATATGCTGGACAGCTGGAAGAAAAGACTGAGAAAAAGAGACAAGGGAGGGAAGAGACAGAACTAGGAAGGTATGGAGCAGAATTGGTCAAAGCTACACACAACCCAGCTTAATTCTAACATCTTCTGTCTTTTGAGTGCTTGAATTTGGAAACTTCATAGTGTTCTCTAGTGTTCTTTTAAAAATGTTGGGGTGTCTGCTTTTCTTGTTACCTGTGAATGCATGTACCCTCTGCAAAGAGGGACTAATGATGATCCAGGGCAAAAATTAGATGCAGTGTTGTTAGGTTTTCCCCCTGCTCCTTCCCTTCTTTAATCTTTCATCTTATCTCTCTCATTTTTCTTCTCTTTTCCAGAGCCTTGCCCATAGCCAGGAAAGGTCGATATCCCAGCTCTCTCTACATGGCCTGGCTAGAAACCCTCTCACAAGACCTGAGACCCCCAGTTATTCTAATCAGAGGAAACCAAGATAATGTCCTGACTTTCTACTGTCAATAAAATTGAATGAATTCATGCTGGCATGGGCTGTGAATTTTTCAGAGCATTCTTTGACCTTGGTGTGAACTCTCCTGGTTTTTCAGGATGGTAACCACTGGTCAAAACAAACTCTCCCAGTTTCAACTGCTAGTATTCTGTGGTAATGGATTGCTGATGGGGAATGACTAATACTGGGTTATATCTGCTGCTTCCCCCTTCTGATATGAGGACAGTGTTGAACTTCCTTCCAGTCGATCCCAGCCTTTTCACCTGCAGGTGTCACCTTGATACCATACCTTTTCCACTGTGACATAGTGGAGTGACGTGTTCCTGAGATCTCTAATGTAAATTCCTGAGATTTTCAAAGCTGCCTAAGGGATTTGGGCACCCAAATTAATTGGCATTCTATATCCCTCCCCAAATCTCAGCCTTTATTTTTTTGACAGCTCACCCATTATTTCAATCAGAATATAATTGTTGGGAGGTTAGAAGCTCTGCTTAGACTGTGCCTCCACTGTACTCCTAGATGGGTTCACCACATACATAGATTTACTTAAACTAGATTAAACCTAGCTAGGTTACCAATAGGCAGTTTACCACAGACTAGCCATCCCTGTAAGGGCACATGGTCCAGGGCAGGCTTGTACAGCCCACATGGGAGCCTCTGAGGCTATGTCTTCACTGCTATTGATATCACAGCATTGGTGAAATTAGAGCCAGCTCAGGTGCACAGTCATCATGCTTCCCAGCTGCAGGATGGATTGGACTGGGGAAGATCACTAGAGACCTTAGCCCTCATCAGAGAGCAGCTGCATGTCTTGTTTTGTTACTGAAGGAAAGAGGGGCTGGGGTGGCATGGGCACTAAGGTGTATGGCTGATTGCTCAGAGGTCACATGTTTGAGACCATTGCAGTAGTGCTCACAACATGGCCTGTCAGATTCCAACACATCTGAAAATTCTGCTAAATACCTTGTCATAAGGACACAAAAAAGGAAAGGAAAGGACTGGGGGGAGGAAGGGAAAAAAAAAAACACAAGGAAGAAGAAATCTGAATGGGGTTGGGGAAAAGGGAAAGACAGCCAGCACTGGGCACCACTTACTGCAGCACTATCAAGCATTGCAGAATTAATGGCATCTTTTGTACCACCATCATGCATTGCTGGAGGCAGAGCCTGTGCCTCCTTTATTCCATGACGGAGCAGTACTGTCAAGAATGTTAACTGTGGAATCTTCCCAACACACACAAGTCAGTAAAACTGATTTTAATATTAAAATGGAGGCAACTGAGGCAGAGAACTCAAGTGCATTGTCTAAGGTCAAACAGAGCATCCATAGCAGAGTCACATTTAAGAGCCTTGGACCCCAACTCCCAGCCATTTCATTGGTCTGGCAGGCCCTGCTGCCTCCCTCATTATTGCAGCCGTTGTACAGCTGGGCGAGCCCAGAGCTGAACTGTAATTAACTGCTCAAGGTCACAGAGCAATTCAGCAGCAGAGCTCAGGTTTCTGACGCCTGTCTGTTTCCCTCAGGTTGCCAAAGCCTAGACCATCTTGACCTTGGCCTCAGGTTTTGATTTTCCTGACTCCTGGTGGATTGCTTTCAGCTTGGTGACATGTGCAATTCAAATTGACATTTCTCCAGTGTTGAGGCTGAGGATGTCTCTTTCCATCCAGATGTGCTTGTATAAACGTATTCCTGATGCAGGACATCCTTTTCACTTCAGTCTTTCAAAGAAATGACAGATAGAGACAACCAGAGGAAAGGTGCTGGTTTTAGTGCTGACAGCAGGA